GGAGAGCAGCTGAGATGTGGAGGGTCCTTGCAACTGCGTACGCTGAATAGTACATCATTGCCATGTATCCCATCGGGAGCCCTTTCAGCTCAATGTCATCTTTAAAAGCCATTCGGTATGAATTTTTGTTCCTGAAGAGAAACGCCTTCTTGTTGAGTGGTGTAGTAAGAGACTTTGTACGCAAACATAAAAGTTTAGCATTGCTTTTGCTTTGCGGGGAGTCACCCTTGAGTCAGAAACAGATGTTTGTGGAAGCCTACCCGCTCAAGCATGTGGAGAAAGGGACCTCTTAGTTTATACCTGTGGTCGATGAAATACATCAGCAGTTTACGTATCTTTACGTATTTTTCTTCGAAGTCCTCTGTATAATTTTGTAAATATAAGGACCAATCATGTCATTACCTAGAATACATTCAGAAGCAAATCGCTTAGTAAATACATTTTACACTAATAAATAAATTCAAATGGCCTGTATTTATATAGTGCTTTTTCAAGTCAGGAGAATTAATCAAAGCACTTCACAATACATTCAGTCATTCACCCATTCACGTACACACTGATGGTGGCAAACTACATTTTAGCAACCGCTGCCCTGGGGCTCACTGGCAGAAGCAACAACTCTGAAAGCAACAACCCTTTGATTTCAGGGCAAACTCCTATGTCCATCCGTCCGTCTATCTTCTTCCGCTTATTCGGGGTTTGGGTCGAGGGGGTATCAGCTTCAGTAGGGAGGCCCAGACGTCCCTTTCCCAAGCCACTTGGGCCAGCTCCTCTGGGGGAATCCAAAGGCGCTCCCAGGCCAGCCGAGAAACATACTCCCTCCAGCGTGTCCTGGGCCTTTTCACAGTGGGACGTGCCTGGAACACCTCATCAGGGAGACGTCCAGGAGGAATCCTAATCAGACGCCTGAGCCACCTCAACTGGCTCCTCTCGATGTGGAGGAGCAGTGGCTCTACTCTGAGTCCTTCCTGGATGACTGAGCTCCCCACCCTAACTCTAACGAAGAGCCCAGACACACTACGGAGAAAACTCTTTTCAGCCACTTGTATCCGTAATTTAATTGTAATTTAAAAAATGCCTTTTACTTTTAAGGGTCAGTGTTTAGTAATTTGAAGATGACCCTTCGGTTGGTAGCAGCATCCCATAGACGCACCTTTTCCCTCTCCCAAAAGGAGAGGGAAAAGGTGAGTATAGTCACTGATCGTTTTGTCAATGACAGAAAGGACAACATGGATGTATTAGGTTAAGAGTATTCTTTGTTATTTTTTTTTCCAGTTTAAACGGACAACTACTTTGTCAAACATGTTTTACAAATACCTTTGAGTGAACTTTGTAGAATTATATATCAAAGTGTGTCTGTCGAAAATTTTATCTAAGAGAAAAAAGCTAAAACAAAAATGCAGAGATAAATTATACCATTGGAAGACTGAAATTAAAATATGAATTGATGCCTAGCAATTTAATAAATTTTTAATTTGTTGAATTTAAATGCTCATTACCTTATTTCTTTATATATTTATTTGAAAAGTTAGTCATTTGCAAAGGTGTTTATTTATTCATGATTTTATTAATTTAAATTTAGTGATTCTCCATACCTTTCTGGAGTATTATTTTTCACATCAAAACTACTAGCAACTTCAGATGAAGGTCAGACTGAGAAGTCGAATAACATTTACATAGTGGAGCAGAATTATTCACGTTAATAAATATGTGCAATGTATTTAAAAAAAAAAATGTAATACATTTTGCATTTTTTTGCTCAGAAGAAGTTTGAAGTTTGTTTTTTTAAGACTAATGAAAGGGAACAGATTTAAGCAGCTGAAGCCAACGTGCCCTTTCTGTCTTTTCCCTGGAGAAACACAGTTCAGGGAGAAAAAAGTAACCATCAGAGGGCTCCCCCCCCCACCCAATGTTCCTATTTCATTGTTATTTTCCCTAGTAATATTTTATTTTTATATATATATATATATATATATATATATATATAGAAATAACAAATGGGGTCTGTTTTTCTTCTTTGTCTTTTTGCCTTACATTACAATTAGTGTTGCGCCGATGCCATTTTTTGACCCCGATACCCGATACCTGGCTGTGCAGTATCGGCCGATACCATAATAATGTAAAATAATTGCCATCATGGCTTTGTCAACTTGCTGCCTACCTTTGTGAAGCAGGAAAAAATCTAATACAAAGTGAAAGCAGTAGAACTTTTTTTTGCCTACCAGGAGTGGATGACAATAGTTGAATAAACTTATGGCTCTCAAAATGGTATCGGTGCCCTATTTGTTGGTACTCGCCCATACCGATACCACCATTTTAGGGCAGTATCGGGGCCCCGTCGGATACTGGTATCGGTATCGGTGCAACACTAATTACAATACTACGTTTTATTGTTTCAAATGTTTGTTTGTTTTTCTGTTGTTCTGCCCTACATTTGGGGAAGAAGTTTTCCTCAAAATACATACTTTTATGGTTTCCCATTTTAAGAGCAGATAAACAAAATTCACCCTACAGTAGTGTCACATCAAAGGTATAATGTAGAAAAAACAGATCATGTGTAATTATTGATACTTAGATAAACTGAATAAATAGTTATGACAAAAAAAATCATACAAATAGATTCTAAAAGCCAATCAACCCAACTCTGTGAGCCAGTTATCTTTATACACTCCTATTACAGCTCATAAAGTTATAGTGCTGTAAAATATTAAATGCATCACACTAATTTTAACATCAGCCAGAGCTCACATTAGTACATATAAGTGTCAAATCAACAGGCCAATGCAACTTTTACACAGAGCTGGTAGGGAAGAAAAAGAAAGATAAAATGCAAGAGAAAAACATGGAAATTCAGACTGCTAGCTAAAATTATTAAAACAATTAAAAATGTAATGTGGTTTGATTAAAGCCTATATTTTGGCCTGCCTTCTTTGGTTTTAGCTTTCCTGCTGACCCTCTAAACATAATTAGATTCCCTCTCATCTTTTTAGGTCTTAGTTTAAGAAATGACATTAGCAAGGGAGTTCATTATAAATTACCAGCATAAAATCATATATCATTGAAACAGCTATGTTAGACAAATAACTGAAGTATCAGTCCACAGGGAAATCTTTAAAACTTAGGTAACTTATTGGGTCCTTATTTATGAGTGAAAACACTTCAGACCTGGTTTACTCTAACATCAAAGATGCAATCAGAGCAGTACCCGGCCCCACCTTGGGTCATCAGATCATCTCTCTGTCATGCTAATCCCTGCATATAAGCCCCAGCTGATCAGGGCTAAAGAGACAGTTAAAGAGGTCAGAGTGTGGTCTGAAGGCGCCATAGAGAAACTCCAAGGCTGTTTTGAATGCTCTGATAGGAACATCTTCAAGGCTGCAGCAACCTATGACAACTCATTAAATATTGATGAGTATGCCATGACTGTGTCAGCCTACATTAACAAATGCATTGAGGACGTCAGTATCAAAAAGAATATCACCACCCGGGCCAACCAACCACCCTGGATGAATGAAGAGATTCCGAAATCGCTAAAAGAACTCAGCTTTCAAGTCTGGTGATAAAGGGGCACTGAGAACAGCCTGTGCCAACTTAAACTGTGCCATCAGCAAAGCAGAACCACAGCCAGAAGATCCAGGATCTTTTCCACAACGCCAGCAAAACCTGGAGGATGTGGCAAGGCATTTGGGTGATCATAGACTAGAACACACCTTCCCCCCTGGTAGATGCAGCAAACACTTACTTCCTAAATAAACTGAACAACTTCTTTGGAAGGTTTGAGACACTAAACAGCACTCCAGCAGTGAAAGCTGTTCCACACCAGGGGGTAGAGGCACTAAACCTGAGAAGAGTCAGCCCAAGGAAGGCCCCAGAACCTGATAATATACCTAAACGGGTGTACAAGGAATGTGCAGATCAGCTGGCTTTTTAACACCTTGCTGGACCAATCCATAGTGCCAGTATATAGACCTCAGCCAGTCCGGGTCGGATATAACACCTCTGATGTCATCACCCTAAGCACAGGCTCCCCTTAGGGCTGCGTCCTGTGCCCCCTGCTCTCAACCCTGATGACACATGACTGTGTCTCCAGGTTCACTACGTTCACATCGTTAAGTTTGCAGACAACACTGCAGTGGTGGGCCTCATCAGAGACGACGATGACCAGGACTACAGAGAGGAAGTGGAGCAGCTGTTGGGCTGGTGCAGAGATACCAGCCTGCTACTGAATGTGGAGAAGACGAAGGAGATCATCTTGGACTTCAGGAGGGACCGGCGTAACCACGCTCCACTGCTCATCAACAGCTCAGCTGTAGAGGTGGTCAGCAACTCCAAACACCACCTCACTGATCAAAAGGGCACAAAAGTGCATGTACTTCTTGCAGAGGATAATGAGAGCCCACCTGCCCCCACCCATCCTCACCACCTTCTACCGAAGCACCATAGAGAGCTTTCTGACCAGCTGTCTCACTGTGTGGTGTGGAGGTTGCAGCGTCTAACACTGGAAAACGGTGAATACAGCAGAGAGGATCATCGGGGCTCCTCTTTCCTCCATAAAAGACATTTCATCCCAGCACTCTGAGCCCGTAACAATATAAATGACCCCTCAAACCCCCACCATGGACTTTTCTCCCTGCTGCCCTCTGGGAAGAGGCTTCGGAGCATCCAATGCAGATCCAGCAGATTCCAGAACAGTTTCTTCCCCACTGAAGGAATGAATATTGGAATCGAACTTATATACAGTCGTATGTTTACATTATAACTGCTGCTTACCTTTATCACGGCTGCTCTTTAAAAATAAGAAAATCTTGAGAGCTGTACTGTACGAAATAAATTTTTGCATACACTCTGTGTATACAAAATGATAAAGTCTAGATCTAATTTAACCCCGTGGAGCATTTAGAAACACCTCCTCAAGTGGATAAATAAGCATGGCTTTGAATAAATCTTTCTTTATCTGTAATCAAGGGTTGATAGAAATGTATTAAAGCATTTGTACTCACCCATCATCAACAAAACAGGGGTATGGGATTTGCTGGAGAAAAACACCAAGCGGCTGAGACTTTGACGTTTGCAGTCGAATGACAGCATGGTCCATCATGTCCTGCAGGTAGGCAAAGCCTCCCAAGATGTAACGCAGGTCGTCAAAGGCGTTGTCCCTGGCTCCAGGAGACCATGACCTTTTTAAAAACAAAGTTATACAAATATGTATCTATAAAAGGAAGGTAAACCACACACTGAACAGTCAGACATCTACCCTTAATATTTTAAGCCACTAAATAACAATGAGACAGATACACCGCTAATTTTGAAAAAGAAGCAACTCTCCTTTTTTATAATACCAATATCTTGCTCCAAATTTAGGAAAGAAAAAGCTTACATAACATAAAGAATTGAAAGTATAAAGCTTGTGGTACTGCTGTCATTTCTCCAGTTTACAGAAATGTTAGTGAGAAAACTATAGAAAATATAGATAGAAAACATCCAGAGTGTCTGAGTTTTTATTTTTTTCTTTCAGTATAAACAAGCCCAAAGTGAACAATTTTGCTTACTTTTAAAATGTAGGTTGAAAGTATTCTACTCGTGGCTTTTTGAGAAATGCTCGTATGGCTGTGTTCAAAGTTTACAGTCAACTTTGAGTTCTCAAACTCTATGCTCTTTAACTGTCCAATCTCTTGTCAACATATATATGTGGGTCCCATAAGGATTATGCTTAGGCTAGATGGCTATTAAATTGGTTTCATTTCGGAGCCGCTTTGACTAAACACAGCCTATATTAGCAGAACTGGTTGCCTTATATAGTTTGTTATAAGCTGATTCTCAAATGAATCATGTGAAAAATTAATCAGCCTTTTTTATCTACCAAATTCAAGCCTATATTTACATAAAACATTTGTGTTAACCAGATAATCCCTTTTTGCACCCATGTTTTAGCCTATGTGCTATCTAAATGGGGTCTAGGTGTAAATGTTGGCCCTACTGAAAAAAGAATGTGCTACATGTTTGAGATATAAGTGTAAAGCGAAACAAGACATCTCAGACACAAGCTGGGCCCAAGTTTAGCATTCTAGATGCTAGCAAGAAAACATCATTATGAGCAGTTTGATTCACAAAGAAAATTAAGATTTTAACAAACATAATGGTTAAATGGAAAAAACACTGTCAAAAAAAGTCAAATCATATGTTTATATAGTATTTAACTATACTTTACACAAATGCAGTCACACTGGAAACTAAATTTAAAAAAAGTTGAAGAACTAAGACTCTCCCCGTTTGAAATCCAGTGCAGAATTTTTGAAAGTTCTTTTTAGTACCAATAAGATTTTTCATAATTCTGCAACCACTAATGCAAGAATTGGTGTCAGCAAGACCTACACTGAAAAGTATACCATCCATTTAGTAGATTACTGAGGGCTATTTTTTTTTTTTTTTGGACATGTAAACTACAAAGACACAGGGGACTTGGTTAAAATTGTGAGCAGAAAAGATGCAGTAAATAATCAGAAATTCCTACACTTAAGAGAGACAAAATATTTGCGCTGTTGGGATCGCATGTTGCTGATGTAACTGGAACTACACCCCTCTGAAGACACAACTCTCTAGTGGAGCTTTTAAAAGATGGACTACTGTCGTTCAACTTCCTGTTGCCAGTAGCACGTGGCTGCTAAAGGCTTGACTCTAAAGCACTTTCCAGCTTAAGGCTATGCTTAGTAGCAACCTTTTTCCTTCGATTCAGAAGTGGCTGAACGTAGTTTTATAACTTCCTGTTTTAGTTATGTAATTTATTCATAATCTCCTGGTAAACTTTCACAACAGTGCCAAAAAATGTGGAGGGTTAATATGAGAAGAAATAAATGGACTTCAGCTTGATGTTAAAGGTGGTGGTGCATCATGATGGGTCATGCAAACTTGTTAATTTAAGTACTCTAAGGGCCGGATCTATCAAAGGTTTGCGTGTATAAAAACGTGAGCTATTTCACTGCGCACGCTAAAAAATGTACAAACTGATCTATCAACAGCGTGCTAAAAGGATTTGGTCTTTAAAACGTGCTTATCCATTTAGTACTTTTTTTGCAATGAATATGCAATATGGGGCGTTTACACACAAAAGTGCATCTTGTGGGAGGAGAACATGTAAATATATTAATTTAGCACTCGCAAAGTGATTTATCAAACCTGAAAGCAATTTTGCTAACGGTATCTGACTCTATATTTAACACTGTTTCAAAAGAAGGTGCAAATGGTCTGTATGCGTAATTGCGCACACATGGCAGCGGTTATTGTCGCAAGAAGGAGACATCGAAATGAAGCAAGGAGACGCAGAGAACACATTTTTTCACTCCGTGTGAATATTTTTGGAATGAACGAGGAAAGGATCATCAAAACATATCGTTTATCCAGCATTGCCATTTTGGAGCTGTTGGGGGAACTCCGAATGGATTTGGAGCCAGCCACAAGGAGGACCCACGCAATACCAGATATCACAAAACTCCTTGCAACATTGCACTTTTTTGCACCTGGGTCATTCCAGCGTACGGTTGCAGCGAGAGCTGGGATCTCCCAATCTCGTTTTTCAGAAGTGCTGTCCGACGTTCTAAATGCCATGTTGCCCTGACACCCTAACTGAGAAACCAGACCTCCCCCCTGCGCCTGTGGAGCAACATGCCAATGCTGCGGGGATGCGTACGCGCAGTAATCTCATCCACAGTCACTTCTTGTGAGCCATTTGGTATGTGCATTTTTCTACAGGCCAATACAAAACACCTGTTTTTTTTTTGTTTGTTTTTTTTTTTACTGCAGTGAAGTAGAAATTCAGCCACATACCACCCTAGGGAATAAATATATATATATATATATATATATATATATATATATATATATTTATTTTTTTTGGAGGGGGTGGGGGTGTCACTGTAAGATTTAAATTTCTTAATGCACTAGTTTGTACAAACTACAAACTACTTTGCCGCAAACCACAAAACGCGCAAAACCATCATTTAAGTAGGGCGTCTCCAACAGTTTTGCACCTGCCACCAGTTACGCAATCACTCTTGTTAAATCACCCGCAAACCATGGTTCAGCCCCTCACGCAAAATTCCAGTCGCCCAAATTACTGCACGCAACTTTGGATCTTGATAAATCCTGCCCTAAGTCTTTATGACTTAAAAAAAAAAAATAAGTACTGTTGTTTTACAATACATATCTTTATACAAATTGTAATTTCACCCATTAATGACAACAATAAATGAATTATATGGTCTAAAAATTGACAAAAGAACTTAAGCCTCTTCCAGAGTCTGTAGACTTATGAGAGAAACTCATTATGATGGCTGTAGCTGTTTCTGTTGTTCCTTTAAATCTTTATACTTATGGGAGAGAGACTTCAGCAACTTCTTTAATTAGAATTAATCTCTTCTTATATTAAAGGAAAACATTCATTAAGAGCAATATGTTACCTTCTGCAAGCTTTAGAACTGCTGTCTCCAGTTATTAATTGAGTTTATTCCCAAACCTCGTCATGAACTTGTTGCAATATGTTTTTTTTATGTAATATATTTTTAAGTTTTATCAAGTCTGAAATACCCTTAACATTTCATTAAAAACTTTAAACCAGTGCGCAAAAAAACATTAAACATAAATAAGATAAGTTATAACAAAACAGTTGTATTCATATAGATATAATGAAATTATATTTATTTTTAAGATGGGCTGCTGAGTGGCACAGTGGCAGCTTGCATGTTCTCCCTGAACATGCGTGAGTTCTCTCTGGGTAGTCTGGCTCCCTTCCACAGTCCAAAAACATGACTGTTAGGTCTGGCTTCTCCAAATTCTCATTAGGTGTTAGTGTGTGCATGAATAGTTCTTTGTCCTGTTTGTCTCTGTGTTGCCCTGTGATGGACTGGCGACCTGTCCAGCACCAGCATCCCTTGCGGCCCCGCTTGGGATAAGCGTGACGAAAAATAGATGTATTTATTTTAAATTACATCTTGAAGAAGAGGCACCTTGTTGGCTTCTGAAGCAATGGTTTGATGACTTTCCATTGTGGCTTTTGAGACATATCAAGCATTTGGCATTATTCTATTTAGTCAGAAATCCAAATTTCGAAAATGAGGAATCAGAATATTAAATCACAATACTTCCTATAGTACCGTCTCTGAGCTAGAAAGTTAAAGGTTTCTTTTGCGTTTCTCTTCAACTTCAGTTAATACAACTAAAAGCCACCAATCAGACTGTAAATGTGGGTGTGGTGATTGTCTTAGACCTAAACCTTCAATGCCACATAAAGATATCAACAAAGTCTGGCTTTTATCGCCTAAAGAACATATCCAGGATTATAGGACTGATGTCTGAGCAGGATATATGAGTGCAAAACCAGTTGCCCTTCATAATTGGTTGTGAGTTGATTTTCTGATGAATCTTGATAAAAAAGATTTTCTCATATTACCATCTGTAGGGTGTGGCTAATACTGACCACTCTGAAAGTAGAGAGAAAAGTAAAGCAAATATTCTATATCAGGGGTAACCAATTAAAAATCAGCAGGGTCCAAGTAAAGAAAATCATCAACCAGTAAAGATCTGGAGACATTTTTAATTATAATGTCTTACTTTAAACAGGATTTAACACTGAAATTAGTTTTTTATGCATCCGTGTTATACATTGAATTTTTTTACAAAAAATAATAATTTAAAATGTAAAGTGTCTTTGCAAGTAGAGGACAACAATCGTTCAGTTTTGTATATGGACAATTTACCGATTTACATCTTCTACGAGACACCCAAACTGACCTTTTTTTTTTTTTTTACGGCTTAATGAGAGAAGTGGGCTTTACGCTTACCTGCAAGGCTTTTAAACATAAGTTTGAATGGCGATTCTGAAGCACATATCAAGGTGCTCATTTTGAGCCTTGATCGATATTTAGTTTTGAATATGTTCATGGTGGAGAATTATGCTTCACAGCAGTAGGTTGAGCCAAACATACTCAAAAAGTGCAGGGTCATCTTTGAGCAGCCATTTCACTTTTCTTTTACTATTTCACTGCAGTTCTTCCAGCAGTCCACACTTTTTCTGCTCTCTTTTTCTCAGTGTTTCCTTCTTTCCCATCACCTGGCTTGCCACAGGTTTGCCTGCTGTGTCTAAAAGTAGCTTGCAGCAGCGACCCAGACTAACAAAGCTCATTGACTAATTTGTATCACGTGTAGCCTGGTCTCAGACGCTCCGGACGGCTTTACTGTGTTAACAGGAGAAGCGGCGCAATTGAAGTTAGACAAGGTCGTCAGACAACATGAGATAATTTATAAATGTTTTAAATCAGGTTGGGTCCGGATTAGCCAGCAGGTGGGTCTGGATCCGGACCCTGGTCCGCTAATCTGTGACCTCTGCTCTGTATCATGCATGCAAGGTTTTGGGAACAAACCCCTTTTGGTGGATACAAAACAATGAAGAAAAAACTCATACCTGGACTTCAGCCTGTTGGTTTGCTCTACCATGTCAATGTCCATTCGGATCTTGTATTTGACATAGGGAGGAATCTGGTTGGAGTTTGGTTGGAGGTTTTCAAAGACAATTGCAGCCCAGAATGTGTCATTTTTCAAATGGTCCAAGGCTTTCTCCATGAGCTGGGCTTCAGTCGTAGCTCCCTCAAACTTATTCAAATCCAAACACTGTCAACAAATATAAAAAGATAAAGATAAATAGATGATAAATATAGTTAAATTAGTTGCATTAGTTAGATAATAGATAAAGATAATCCCATAAATGTCTTACTTTAATTTTCCTGAATTTGAACAGAATGTTGTTTTCTATTATTCATACTTATGGAATTTACACATGGGAATAAAGGAAAGGCAGGAATAACCTCATTAGAGGAGCAGCAGATGGATCTTTGGCAAAAAAACAAAAAACTATTCACACAGTTATTGACTAAACCACACAGAGTGTAGTTCAAATTATCTGGAGCTGCCAGGGGGGTGGGAACACGTTTGGGCTTCAGTAGAGACAAGCAATTGAGATACAGGCTCAGTAACAGTCCCCTCTTCTGCAGCCTTGTCCCATCGTTTGGTGAGACGATAATGAGCTAGCCATCCTGGGAGGCAGCCACACCTGACAGATGTCCACACATCTCAGTGCTGCTATGGTTTTATCATTTCTTCCCCCCAGCAGCTTGCATTCTATATCAAGCTATGGGAGAAAATATTACAGCAACACCATTTGCTCTGTACATAATAGAGAGAATAATGGGACATTGAAGAGTTGGATGAGCCAAAAGTTTGCTTAAGTGCTGTAGAAAATGTGGGGCAGAAAATGTGTGGTATAATTTTGGTATCAGCTCCTAGGTACATCAGCCTAGGCAAACCAGTTCAGCATCAGGAGGCAGAACAAATTTCAGCGACAATTCAAAGAGCTGCACAACAAAATCTCCTCTATTTTCTAATAAGTTGAATGCCTCATTATAAAAAAAAAGACTAACATTAAAACATTGTCATATTAGCTTGTATTACTTTCTTAACTGATCACTTGAGCAAAAAAACGTAGCTAAAATTTTGGTGTCTGCAAGACAGAAACATTTCACTCAGCACTAAAAAAAAAAACATTTTATTTATTTTCAGAACCGGAAAAAAACAAAAAGTAGCTGTTGTAGAGTTACTATTAATTCAACACAGTCAGCTTGGAATTAAAGTTAGAAAAGTAGCCGTTCAAATTCATTTTATGAACTGTATAAACATATGTATAATTGCTTTACAGCAATCTGTTATGGCTTTTTTTTTGTAGTGACAAATTTGGCAGATAATAGTTTGGGGTGTTTTTAGAGCTTTTTGGTTCGTTCTGTATCTGAATTTAAACATTACGTTTAACCTCTTAAAACCTTAACTGGGGGTAATATCTAGAATGCTTAAAATTCCACCGGTAAAATTTTTCTGGTAAACGCTCCAAACCCCACAGCTCTGGAACTGTTATAGCTAGAGCTCTGAAATGTTCCGCATTTGGGGTGAACATGATGTAGAACAAATATAATACAATGATACCTGCTTTTTCTCAAGGATGTCTTTATTACTGCTGTTCAAAACAGACCTATCATTTCCCAGAATAATAATAAAAACAAAAAACTTGGAGTCATGTTTGAACTGATGCAGCTTGGTCTGTGTTACAGTCACCCAATTTTAATTTATATATTAGGAAACTAGAGTGTGCTAGCTTTCAAATAATAATGTATTGCACATGTAATTTGGACTTACAGTTCCTAAGTTATTAGCTTTTCCATTTGGGTATGCAAAATAAGCAAGCATTACCCAAAATGAGGTGGATGTTAAGAGGTTAACAGGGATTCCTATTCAAAATAATATCCCAAAAATCTATTTTCTTATGCATTGTAACTTCAGACAGTACTTGTGTTCCTTTAACAAGAAAACATGTTAGAAATATGAATTTATGTCACCCAAAAATGTTGTACTACTTTAGGCTAAGCAAAATATAAAAAGCAGCCTTGTTTCCAGTATTTGAAAAAGCCTATAAATATTTCAGATTTAAACATCAGTCAGCACCTTTGATATTTTAAAAATGAAACCCATGTCATTTTTTCCCCTGTTTAATTGATGAAAATGTGCTTCAGGGGATTCTTGTCAGCAATAATGACTGAAAGAGACACTAAAGAAACCTAACGCCAGACGAAGGAAATAGAAGGTGTCTCATTGCAGTGTTTTGTGTGTCAAGTCTTTGTTCTAACTGACCCTATTCTCCATAAGGAGCTGCAAAGATGCCTGAAAATGTACATCCACCACATTTACAAGTCCCTCAGAGCCTCTTCAGTCTGTGTTTACTCTGTTCTTTAGTCATGATGGAACATAAGCAGCATTCTCTTTGTTAACCTCAGCCCTACCAGCCAAAACAATCCTTGAGGGGACAGACTCTGTGTTTCTGTTTTGTATTTTTATTCCTCTTTGACCACTGGGCTAGCAGCCAAATTTCAGACAAATTATATAATCAGTCTAACACTAACTTGAAAAACATAGAACAGGCCATGTTGAGAGTTACCAGTCTCAACTCTGTTTTGCTCCTAAAGCATCTCGTGCATTTTTTTATACAGTTAAAATATGATCGGTTATTTAAATGAAGAGCTGATCTCTGTGGTAAACACAAACCTCAGCTATGTTACTGCCAATGTTCAGGTCAAGAGGCTGTGCAAGTGTGAACCATCACATTTGCTGTTTATCCTTTAAACTTGCATACCCATGGGAAATCCAAACCCTCCAGTAACTCATACAATAGCTTTCTTATTTTTTTTCCTGCATATTCCTCTATTAAAAAAAGCATTCATTTGGAGCAATGTATTAATCTCTGTGAGCATCAGACCAAAGTTATTAGGGTAAACTAATTGAGTTTATTCCCTGGGATGTGACGATGCAGTGGCATTTTCGTTTTATCTGCTATCCCAAAAGCTCAATATGGTTTTAACAGAATAAAAAGAGATGGAAATAGTGCTTCCATTCATTGGCTTTAAGTGTTCAATTATGCATGAATCTAGGCTCTACTCTATTAGTGTCTAATTTCTTGTGAGTCTGTTTTACTGAAGATGTTGTATTTATTCTGAGCAGCAATATTTTAATTCCATCTCTTCTGTTCTTGTTCAATGAAATCATCACCGATTCGAATGAATACAGAACGTCACTGCAGCCTCTGCCAATATTATTTTTGACAATTAGTTTGCTGTATGCTAGCGATGATACCAGGGTAAGGTTGGGATTCTGGAGACATAAGAAAACACGAAGAAATTTTCAATTTATGCATCGACTGCTTTTATTATAGGAAGCAAAGGACTTGCTTTTTAGAAAGAAACATATATATGTTGTTTTTTTTCTTTTGTTCCTTACTATTTGATAAAGGTTTAGAGCTTATCTAGCTATTCTCTCAGTGGGACAGTTCTTTCCCCATGGTTTCAAACACAGAAAACAAAAAAGTGGTGAAATAGCCCTTTAGGTGTTTCCTTATACGAAAGCTGCATTTATAAGCAAACTTCAGCTTTGTGTGTTTAAATTAGAGGATGACCAGATGAGGCATGGTATCCATTGGTAACACCAGCCTATCTAAGGCTAATGTCAGATCTATCTATGCGGATGGGCAGCAGAGGAAGTAGGCAATCTAGTGGGTTACCTGTGAAGGCAAGCTAGTCACCATTCTCTAGAAAGCAATATCAATGGGCACTCTCCTTCTCAGTTACTAGCTCAAGCTTCTTACTTGCCATAGCTGACCACTCAATGATTGGTGCCAGCCTATCAGTAATCAGCGCAGAATGATATAGCCTTTTGCTCCAAGAAAGGAGGCACCGGTGGGAGCACAGAAACACTGCGTCATAAAAGGTACTCTTAAAAAAAATATAATCTTCTTGTTATAAACTAACCATTGAAACGTTTATGTATTCAAATACATATTGACCCAATGAATCACAATTAAAGTGAATCCTGAGGGTCCTACAAATATCCAGCTCTAGTTTTTCCTTTTTCGAAAGACTCCCAGCTGTGACTTCATATGACGGTCTTACAAAGTATGGATGAGTCTTATTATTTTGCAAGGTATTTAATAATAACACAAATTGCAGCGTTTGATCTTAAGTTGGGATATCTTGAATTACGAATATTTTAAAACCTTAACTGAAGTTTCTCGACCTTGTCTTGTTTCCTTACATCACCCCATGTTTTTAACATCATCTTTCTCTAAACCATCGTTATGGAGCAAATTACAGGTTACATTTTTGTCAAAATGCAAGCTAAGAGTAGTCTAATGGATAATTATTTTAAGGTTTGTTTAAAATTTAAAGCTTTTTCGTCACCATAACAGTTAACGATAGGGAACTGTAATTGGGATAAATAAAAACTTAAGGAATCAGCCTTGCACACAAAGCAGCGGACATTGCCCCACCAGTTCAAACAGATCACAATGCAAAATCTCTCAGAATGACATTTGTGCTTTAGGAAAATAGCATGATGCTGAGGACTAAGCTATCACGGGGAAATTGCCTCTAAGGACAAGCTGTGACACTACTATGACTGTCATACGGCAATGAATTACTTCTCCCCCTGGTATCTCTCTGCTCTCCTGGGCATGCAACAGGCTTATAATTACAGGGTTGTGGTCCATAGTATCTGTACTTGTACACATTTACAGTCTCTTTCTTTTCTAAATTAGCATTGGTATCCATTGTTTACTGCTCTAAAGCTAAGCAGATTCAAACGTATTACTCAATTTCTGTTGTTGTTTTTTGTCCTTATGGGGAGTAGGTTTTTGAAAATATCATTTTCTCACAAAAAACAATCTAAAAGTCCTAAATAAATTATATATAAGTACATTTTGATTCATAAAACAATTCCCTACATATTTTCTAAAAACTGATAAAAGGGACGCTCTAACCTGTAATCTGATCTTAAGTCAAAGTTTTTATACCATATATTTTTAAGAATTATTTTACGTTAACTTTTTCCTGTTTGAAAAAAAAGGTTGTTCAGATAAAAATATACATAATCTCTATAGAGAAGAAGATGTTGTATTTAAAAGCTCTACAATGTGTTTAGAATACAATAAATAAGAAAATTAAGAAACTAAATGGGTTATTTTACGGTATTATGTTTGGCATAGCACAGGTACTTCAACTACTTTCTTACAAGTGTGTTTATACGTTTGATGGTGAGGTACAGGAAAATAATGCTGCCTTTATGACTCTAAATATATTACTGTCAGCCTTGTTATGTGTGCCTTTTTACCCATCAGCCTGTTTGATAGCATTTCACATATACTTTATTCTAGAGCATGACAGTGCTTTCAGTAGGTGATTATCATGGATGTGTTATGGTGATAGATCTTGACAGTTTGTTAAGTCAGAGGTATTAGAATTTAATGAAGAAAGGCGCAAACCCTCTTCAGCTTGTAATCCGCTTGTAATAAAAAGAAAAACTGGGAGATGAAAAGATATATCAAAAAGTTGCAGCCTTGATTTTTAGTGTGAACAAAAGTAGTGAATAGATCCTGTAGCAAACGACCTAGGAAACAAATTGCTGAGCAAACATCAACATTGTAGATTTAATACCCCTAGCGAACAAATTATAGTACCTCTGAGTTTTGGCAGATGCCAGAGGTGAAAGTTGTGAACAAAAAGATTTAGAGATCAGTTAAAATAAACCAGCAATTATTTCTGAGATACGTGACTGACGTCCAACACTTTAAATAAAAGAAATATCCTGCTGATGGGAGAACTGGTGCTGCAACCTCCATACTTTTAAGGAGAAAGTTTTAGGTTTTATTGAGGGTAAAAGTGCAAAACAATAATTGATTGAAAGCATCAGTGAACACTGTAATTAAAACTATAATTTAAAACAAAATACAAACAAGCAAACGAAAAAACAAAAAGACATTTCATTCTATTTTTGCACCTCTGAGAAAATATCGAACTGTGGAAACTGTTCCACGGGGTTTTGCCACCAACATCCATCAAGCATTTATGCTTAATCATCTAGCATTGCTTTAAAATATTACATTTTATATCAATCCAATAGCTCTCCAGATTTGCATATGAGTTTCCTTTTTTTAGATTATTAACAATTTGTTATTAAGACATGTATTTCTGAAGTAATTGTATTTGCATTGTAAAAAGTGTGCTCAGTGTGTTAGAATAGTTTTAACTTATTCATTGCCGGCATGTAGCCTAGCTTACTTTAAATTAACCCAAGCTATACTGATTTTCTGATAAACAGTCTATTTTATAAAATAAATACTATAAATAAATATTTGAAAGATGAATAGAATTACTGGATTGTATATAGGCATATTTCATTCTCAGGCTAATGCTAATGTACTTGAATTTGCAAGCAGTTTTTTTTCAGATTTTGAAAATTATTTCAGCTGTTTGAATTTAATTAATTGAATTTGAATAAAAAAATACTGGACTTGAAAGGATTCAGATATTTATTTGCAATGTTTGGTGAGGTTTTGTTCCAAATATTAATAGATTCATTGCCAAAAGACTTCTCCGAAGTAAAATCAAAGAAGTGGCCTACCATGACTATGAAGCTTATACCAGTGGGAAATTAGTCCCTGACTATGTAGGGGCATTGATCGCCATGCCAGTCCAGGGACTGTCTGCAGTTCTACTGTAAGGTCAATGACCGGCGTACCTGACATGTAACAACCATACCATGCATATTGCTTTACGTTAATAGAAAATGTTAATTAGACTATGTAAACTTTAAAAAAAAAAAAAAACTCGACTTGTGTGTGTTAATGTATCCTGTGCTGTGATTTATGTTGATTTATAGAAAAAAACAAAATAGTGTTAGAGTTGATTTACAAGGCTCAATTTTAATGTCGAAAGTATTTTTAAAGCTTTAGCTTCCATTTTAATATTTAATGAGAAATCATGAGACACAGAATTTATATGGTGTGCTGAATGTAAAAAAATAAATAAATAAATAAAAAAAAAAAAGCAAAACAATTCTAAAGGTCACATCTATGTTACTTGGTGCACTTCTACTACTTTGGTGCACCTCTGCTACAAATTGCACACCCGTAAAGAGCTTCAGCATAAAAATTGCACAAAATATAAGGACAGTTATTTTGATTATATCTTATTTTAAAAGCAACCTGGACCAAAAAACCAATTTGAAAATATATCCACGATAATTGTATTTGAGTAAAATCAATGTCAGAGCAATCCTGCAGTGCGTGCAACTGCATGGGGATTTGCAACAAACAGCTATGTTACTTACGCCAAGGAATTGGGAGAGCAACTTCATGATTTCAGTGGTACTGTTGTAAAAATCCCGCCAGTCATTGGGTGGCAAACCAGGCGGACGGTCTTCCGGAGGCCCGCTGTACAGGAAGTTCTCCATCAACTCAGCAGTCCATACCGTACGGCTCATGCGCTGGTTGAGGGCAGCTGCAAAGATGGGATTCGCCAGCAGTGCCTGATTGGAACAGAAAGAAAATGTATGTAATTGAGCTATAGCTTTAAGCTGTAAGAAGCAAAAAATTGTAAGAAGGGAAATTAATATTAATGGGGAAAAATAGTCAAGGTATAGTTAAAGTGAAGGTACGCTGGACCAAAATTAGGCAGGGCTGGAATTTTTTTCTTCTTTTTTTAACCCCCAGTGTAGCTCATGCATAGGAAATACAGTAATACTACTTGAGTTCAATTTGGCATACATTAGTCCAGTTTACTTTTTTATAACTTATTTACAAAAAATATATCTCAGAGACTTTCCCAAACAAACAAATATATAGAAATGTAAAATGTATTGTTTCAGATCATAGACAGGTCAGGAACAAAGAAAACTATATTCTAGTTAATTGTCCCCCCTTAAAGAACTCAAATCAGTTTGGGACTTTAAACCAGCAACACTGAAACAACAATACTTTCATTCACAGAACAAAAGGTTAAAAAATATGTATTTTGTTTTTTCTAAGCTTCACAAAAAAAGACTGAGATGGCTTCAATGATGCAACAAATTAGGAAAGGTAATGTGTGGATCAGAGAGTGAGAACAGGTGTAGCAGTAATACAGACATTTAAATGACTCTGTCTCTGATACAACAGTTCTTTGATAATGAACTCATTACATACTCTTCATTTAGCAGCCATAACCATTTCCCTCCTTCTCAATAAGTATTGCACATATTTTATGTGAAATGAAGGTACTTTTTCTGTGTTGATCATTATAAGGCTACGTTTGCTAGATAACCTGAAAGAAGCTGTCGTTTAGAAATACATTTTAACTGTTTTTCAAAGTTGATGGGAGCTGATGTCTCGTCAGGAATGTGAGCTGAACATCAGCTAAGCTCTGGTCATCAGTTGTGCTAAATCCTGACCTGACATTTAGACTTCTTCTGTCAAGTATGCTCAGTGGCATTTCAGCACCAACACATCTTATGACATTATGCCTGACTTAAGAACAAAGTGTCAAATTAAATAATATCTCTTCTGTGTGACCTTTGGTGGAAAACAGTCAAATGTATCTTCACATTTTTTTGTGTGTGTCTGCCATCTGAAGCACACAATAAAAAAAAAAAACTTTAACTTTAGAGAAGTAGAGCAGAAATTAAAAGTTTGTCATCTTTGAAGTTTATGGGTTTAAATGTATAAGAATCTAATAAATTTGCAATGTAAAAATCTTAAATTATTGAAATTTAACTTAAAGTGTGAAATCACATAACACATTAAAGTATGTAATAATTTTTTTATCAAAAACAAATTTCTGTGTGTCCAGAATTACATGCACTTTTTCTTCCTCATAGTTTGACGATCAGGGGCCTTGCAACAACTGTTTTCCGTTTAAGGGAAGAGGTCTTCCCATTGTCATCAATGCCCCCTCACCATCAGTGCCCGCTACAGCTTTGAGTGTGACTTCCTTGGGAGTGACACTCAATAGTTTAGGGTGCGGTTTGGGATTGGGTTAAAAAGATCAGCAACCTTTGGTTTCTTGCTGCCATCAGTCTGAGGATAGTTATGCATGCATTGCTAAATAACATTAGGGGTTTTTTTGTTTTTTTTTTACAGGGGTGACTGTACAACATGTGGGAAGAGTAGTTGCCTAGCAATACAAGAGTTGTTGAATAAATTCCAGCTTCCTCGTGCCACATATTGCCCTTTGGCAAGGCTTCAACAATCTAAGAACCTCATTAAAAAGGATCCATTTATATGTTATACAATATCACATAATCTATATAAATGAAAGACTTTCTATATTAACTTTTTTTTATATACCTTAAGATGTGCATGTCATGTAAAAGCATCAGCTGCAGATACATGCTAGTGAAATGGAGTAGGTATAACCGTTAAAGAGTTCCCTCAGCTAGAGCCTCTGTCTGAATGTTTTGTCCACCGCTTAATGTTCCATGGCATTTCAACCAAATAGTGGCAGATGCCCGTTTAACCTAGCCAGTCGAGTGTTAAATGAACTTATTTATCATGAGGCTCTCTTCCAGTGACACAACGTCAGATCTGTCTGTTTATATTTCTAAAAGAAAAGGACAACCCTAATCCCAATAGAGGCTTTACGATTTTCATAGAAGTTTAAAAGGTCTTCAAAGGGATGCACCGCTATGAATGTATGCAAACATTAGTGCTCGTTACTGAGATGCTTTAAACACAATGACATGATGCAAAACATGAATCATTGCTTTTTTTAATGATATTTATAAAGTCAAAGATGCTCTATTCCAAATCTAGCAGCAGTGGAGGAGTTAGTAGAGAATGAAACAGCAGTATGTGACCTTGAAAGACCACTCAAGATGACAAACCTTTGAAATCCACAAGTTTCATAGCAAGAGGTGGGCAGAGAGCCTGGCTGGGAGAAAATGAAGACAAAGGGGAATTGCAGGTCCATTTGTGTAAAGGTTAGGGCTAGGGTAATGAATACCCTTGCTATATGGAGCTTCCAATGTCTGCTTCCCTCCAGCTGCCTATAAGCTCATTTGGAGTGACACCGAAGTAATGTCAGTGTCAAGGAAAAACAGAGAGAGGCAAACAGATAGTAGGAGAGAATGGGTAAAGATAGGTGGTGGCAAAGAGTTTACGTCCTTTATTTTTGCTGGATAATCCTCTCCAGCAGGATGAGAATTATCCTGCACTTATCCATAATTACTTTTCTCCCTTGGTTTCTGCATCTAGCAGAAGGTGCAGCAAATTCATGCACACAGCATGCATATATTCGCCTGCAATTTCATCTTTGTACTTTTTTTTTCTTTAGACATTTTCCCATAAAATTAAACACTGTGCTTTGTATCAACTGTGTGGTTTTAAAGGATTTTACATCTATCCTGGATAAAAAGTTTAGAAGGCGCAGTTCCAGGTATAATTTCAAGAAACATCTATGATAATCTGGACCTAATTTAGTGCAACTAAAAGAAGAGATTGCAGTCAGACTGATTAAAAGTTTATATCAAGGAAAACCGGTTGACTGCATTGAGTTATCAACTTGCAGGACATGCTCCTACTGGGAGAGCTCGCGGCAACAATTTTCCCTTGCATTTGTCATTGACCCTTTGCAACAAGCAACAGTGGAGAGAAATAAAATCCCTTCCAGCAGAAACTTCCAGCAGAACCAGGCTCAGTCTGAGCCGCCTTCTGCTGAGGCCAACTAGGGTTCAAGGAGATACTGCAGGTTGAATTGTCTCTCCAAAGGGCTTTGAGATGACATGTGTTGGGAGTTGGCACTATATAAATAAAGTGAATTGAATTGGATTGTTTCACACTCCAAACAAACGAATATGGGGTTAACTGGTTACACTAGTTAGTGTGAGTGGGGATTACTGTTTGTGATCCTTTTCTTAGTTTTGTGAAAGAGTGGCAGCCTGTCCAGTGTGGCTGTATGCTGCCCCTTGCTCAATGACTGTTGCAGAGAAGCACCAGACCTTCTTGGACCCTTCAAGGATAACTGGGTATTGACAATGGCTTTCCCAGAGATGATTTTGTGCCAACATTAGATTGAAAGTCCAACAAAGAACGCACTAACCAAAAGGCTTTAGTTCTGTCTGAAACAGTCCTCCCTTTTACCTTGAAATTAGGAAGAAAACTTTTCTTACTTGAGTAAAAACCGAAAAATGATTTAAATTCAAAAGATGAGCAGTGTTGGTTCAAGTTAACTGTTTTGTTGAGTCTCACCTGAATTGCATTGATTTGAGAACTGTTCTGCATGAAGTCCCAGAGACGAGGGCCGAGTTCATCCCAAGAATCAGCGAGCTCTTTTAACATGGCAAGTGAGTTAAAAGTGCTGTTTGCCTGGAAAAAAAAAAAAAACACAACAAAGAGATGATATTTAACAAAAATCAAATAAAACCCCCTCCCATTTGCAGAAGCTACTGAGGCTTGCATATATCCAGAGTGAATATAAAAATTCAAGACTAATGCACTAACATCTCTGGAGGAACTTAGAGATTTTTGCCGTGGTGAAGCCCCTTTCTAACACCACCTTTTATACTTTCTTCAACCCCCTCGCCCCTCTGATTTGATGTAAATGTGTTTTTTTGCTCCATGACACTTGCAGATGCTTTTTTTTGTTTGTTTCGTAAGAGAGGAGTTGGCTTGAGTAAAGCACCCAGCCTCCAGCTGTGAAGCTGGCAGGTTTTGCACACCCTCATGTAATCGCTGCAGAAAATCCTCCCTTCACATCTAGTTTGTTTTGCCTAAAATTATGCTGATCGCTTGGAAAGAATGTCATGGAATGATAAAACATTCATTAAAAAGGCCTCAAGTCTACATATTCCATTTTCTTTTCTTCTTAGCCTCATTTGTAAAGTGTGACATCTCAGCTTTAACTGAAATTGAAAGCATCCTCTAGTTAGAATTAATTATGCAACTAACAATATATTCAAATACATTCAGTGACTAAAACTGAATTCCAGCTATATAGAATTTAGCCTATATATGCATGAGGAAGAAATCAGTTTCATGACATACTTCATTTTTTTTCTAAGCCTACCTCTTTCACCAGGAGGAGAGCAGCAGGTGTATTAGGTGCATAGAGGACCTTTCCTTGCAATAATGGCTTGAGGGTGCTCCAAATAAGGCGCAGAGCAGGTGTGCCCTCCAGGGTGTCGACAAGAATCTGACAAAAGGCATCTGCAAAAGAGAGGAGGTGAGTAGAGAAGTTTTGGAAAGTCAAATCAAAGGCCAAAACAACATTGTTATACACTAGTTCAACATGTTATAGCCCTGCTGGGTTATCTAGCTTTCTGTTCTGCTATCTGTTCAAAAAAGTATTAAAAAAAAAGCAATTCTTTTAAATTGGATTATAATGCCGTTATAAAACCCATCTAGGGTTTCCTGGTTTTGTATTTCATAATGTCCCTTTATCAGAATCATTAGCAGAGAGAAAATTTTATTCCATGTTAAATTTAAATCCATTTTTGACAAATCCTATGACTTATAATAAAAAAAAAAATATTAGTGTCTCATAACTCTGCAACCTTAAACCTAATAAAGCAAAAAACCTGAATAAAATTCTATTATCAAACCAATATTACAAGAGTGAATATAAAAAAACGTCTTATAATAATACCTCTTATTAACCATTTCTTTAAAACAAACTGGTTCCATTTGTAAAATAAACTGTAAAACAAACAAATTTTATAAATACAAATAAAAAAAAGGCAATCCAGAGGGAAAACTTTGAAAAACCGTTTATCAAAAAAGTTTTGAAAGTAGCTTTACTGCTGTTGTATTTTTTTTTTCAGATTTTTTTACCTGATTCTTTCATACTTTCTCTTTTTCAAATGTTGCTTTTTTTATTTACTTGTTATTATATATTTAATATTTAATTTTCTCATTATTCCTTTGTTTCAGAGAAACTATAAGAGACACAATATGAAAAAAAAAAAAAGTTTTTCCAAAAGCTCTGTATGATTAAGAAGCTTTCAATCTGAATTACTTTCTTTTTTTTTTATTTCAATTCTTAAAAAGTATTCTTTGCTTGCAATATGAATCAAGCAATCTCCAATTCTGTGGAAAAATTTACCTCTTCAAATTAAATCTGCCCACAGCCTGGATCATTTTAAATCGCTTCTTAAAACTTATTTTTTTTCTTCGACTTTTATTTGAAGCAGTGTTTCACATTCTGTTTTGTTAATTGATGTTGTTGTCTTTCTAGTAAAGCACTTTGGTGCAGTTTTATACCGGTTTTTAAAGTGCTATATAAATAAATTTGACGTTGATATTGACAAGCAATAATGGAATAAAATTCAGTCAACACTGAAACACCCTAACTGATCCGATCAAATAACTTCTTAAACAGGGCCATCTGATAATATGAATTAGGCTTAAACAATTCTCTATAAGCATCTCATCTTGCCCCGATCCAAATAAATATTTAAGAACAGGTGAGAAAGGCCATCTATTATAAAAATAATATTGCCATTGTAAGGCTTTGAGGCTGCAGCAGACAACATTGAGAGTAATTATGAGCAAATGGAAAGACATAAAACAGTGGCTATCGTTCCAAGGAGTGACCTGTCTAAAAATGTTTGTATACCTCTATATGTATATTCAAATATATATATGCACTGCTCAGAAATTAAAAGGAACACTCAAAAAAAAATCTTGATCTAAATAAATTAAATATTCTCATTTAATAATTTTTTATGTACAAAGCTGATGGTGTTAAAAACAGAATTACACAAAGATCATCAATGGAAATCAAATTTATTACCAATGGAAGCCTGGATTTGGAGTCACACACAGTTAAGCTGTAAAAACACAGTACCGGCTGATCCAACTTTGATGTAATGTCCTTAAAATATGAGTCTAAATTTGCTGCCTGGTAGCGGTCTGTATTCTCTGATTGCTTTACTTGTAGATTTTTGGATTATGGGAGGAAGTGTAAATAAAAACTAAGAAATCTAACTGCTTTAAAGAGTATGACAAGAGAAATAATTTGAATGACGTGGAAAAATTGATCCAATCAGAGCACTTCAGAACAAATGTCTTTCATCAAACTGTAGCCTTTATTAGCGGCACTTGTCCTTGTTTATAGATTATTTTGCTAAAACTTTACAACTACTCCGAAATAGAAGGAATTGGAAAAAAGTTCAGACAACTTTCAGTGTGCATAACTAACAACAATTTCACTAAATGAAATGGTCTTGAGCACTTAGCTGATCAACACATATTCTTTAAAAAGGGTTACAATTGCAGATTTAAAAGATCAGAAACAAGTAGGCTATAATTTGCTGAAAATTAAATTTTTTTCTTTCTTTTAAAATACATATAAAAAGACCTAAATGAGTTATTGATGTAATAATATACTCCCTTTTTGCTCATTCATGGGGACAACCCATCTGATAGGTGCATTGATAAACCATCTTCGAACTTTATAGTTATAGTGGAGGATCTTTGCGAGATTTTGAAAAGAAAGTAAAAAAAAAAGCACATGCACAACCCTGTACATGCTTCCGAGAGGGAATGCCTATTAAACGGGTGCGAGAGCGTGCACAAGCCCATTTCTCTTTGTGCATGCTCTGTTTAAAAGTTTCTGTTTGCATCACTCATACAAGCAAACTTTCCTAAAGATTTTGAGTTTTTCCACGATGCCAGACTCACCTAGCCTGGGTGCCATTCCGAACTTAGTCCCGCCCACAACGTTTAACATCGGGAAGTTCGGTCTGGCATTGCTCTATAGTAGCGTGAGTATGCTCGCACAATATCTGGTGGGCCAATCAAATTGTCAGGGTGGGCTTTATACGATGATGGACAGATGATCAACAGTAACGTAATCAACTACGTCACCAAAGCGCGCATGGGTGACAACAACAATGGCTGCCGCCGGAGAGTTGAGGTGAGTAGATTCTGCTATTAGGTCTGTTCTAGAAGATATCGACAGCAAATTAATTTTAAAAGAGGAACAGAGAAACGCGATCAAGGCTCACCTGCAACTGCACGCTTTGATTTTTGTTGACAACAACTATGCGTCGCTTAACATACGTCACGCACTCCGTTGCTCTTATTGGCTGTAGGTCTATCCAATTGAGTGCAGAGGCATTTTTTTTCCTGGTTCGTTCGAAACACGCCCCATAATCACAGCTCTATGGAGCAGTATCAGACTCATATTCTGACTAGAATTGAGTAGGACTACGTCAGGCTAAGACTCACCACCAGTAAGGGAAAATGGGGACGAGCACGTAGGACGGCCTTACGTAAACATATCACCAGAATGATTGACAATTAGGAGGACCACTTATTTTGATGATCCACTCGGAAAAAAAACATCCTTGACTATACCTTTAAGCCAATCAGATTTAAAATGGCAAAACATTGATTTTATTTTACGATTCTAGCCTTGATAAATTATTTCAATATCAAGATAAATCTAATGAAAGTTTTGGTTGTTTTTTGAGATATAAATGAGTTCTCAGTTTTTGGATTACATCATTTTTTATTTTGTAAATTTATACAAATTTTTTGGTGTGTCTGTGAATTTAAGTCTTTGTAAAATATAGTTGTCGCTTTTAACATTTTCTTTTTTGCACATAAAAAGTCAAAATTGTATAAAATAGCTCAATAAAGTGGACAATAAATCAGTTACAACTTCACCAGTAATGGAACAAGACAGGTGCAGATGATGCATATACAGAAAAAGAACATTTATTCCACTGAAATAAGGACAGACTGAAGTAAATACAACTCGAGGATCTAGACCTGACATAAAGAAAATGTTCTATCAACTGGGTGAAAAAAACAACCTATATGCTCAGCAGCAGCACATTCATTATTAATTTAACTTATATGCCAACCTGAATTTTGCCAGGTTGCGAGAGTGCTGCAAGTTACATGAGGTCCTGTGCTGTGAGCAAAAGCACCTGAAGAACAGATAATTCTTGTTCTTTGACTTTTATTTGGCTTGTTTTTGAATCTAAATGAGTTTTCTTGAAGTGTGGTACTTTATCAAGCAACTGATCAATGCGGTTTGTCATCTGCCATTCAATAGAGGCACTGTCTGTCTCTATGTTTCCGACATTTGTCACTCCATGTCTCTACTTGTCTCATTTTTTTCCATCACGTTGAAGTACACCAAACCCCTCTCTCCTCCCATTTCGCCAGGCCAGTCATCTCTCCCATCAGAGAGAGTTTAGAGGCCATTTTCAGTGCAATTAAATGTTAGCCCTTCTGCCTGCTGGTCATCTTTCCCAGATGCTCCAGGGAGGTCAGCGCATATACAGCTAATAGCCTCCCTCTAGCACAGGTCCCGCCACCTGTTCTCTTTGCAGACTGCAGTGATGCACTTTCAAAACGAGCAATGTGCATTAAACTCAGCTTAGCAACCGTCTGTTCTTCAGACAATATTAGGTTTGATTGGGAAAAAGTAACTCCACTGGGAAAATGTCCTTTATGAGCTTAAAGTGATTTCAAAAAAGTAAATACATAAAACAATGTAGTCTGGGAACGTGTAACATGGCAGAAAAGGATTAGGATTTCGGATATGGTTTGTCAGATTCTGGGCTAGATAAAAAGACAAAGATATGGCTCAGGGAGATAAAGGGACAGTAAATACACAAAGATGTATTAAACATTATGTGACGAATGCCTTATTATACTACGAACACACATACTCTGTTAAGATGGAGTTTTCAACTGTTTGTGGATATTAACATCTCTCACAGTCCACAATAATTTGTTGCATACTACAACTGGTGTGGTTTAATTGTCCATAGAGTTCAGCAGGACAGTTTGATATCGTCCAAAAGGGCAAAAACAGAGTTTGAGGATAAGAGAGGCTGGAATGCGAGAGCATGTGGAGGGGCGGGTTCAACACAAACAGCAAGCCAATGACACCACTATGTGGGGAAGTTGCATACATAGCCGTTTATAACTTTATCAAAAACTGTTTATGCCACCAGAGACGGACAGTGATTTCTTTCCTGGATTTTTTCCAAACTCTTTTCATTAGTGGTGATATTAATTTTTTTTAATCAGAGGATGTCTCTAGCTGTTTACATTTTGTTTTGTCTACAACCCTCATCAGCTCGTGAAGTTTTCCGTGCAGATCTGTACGCGTGGTTACAAAATATTCTTGCGTGCTTCATATGGAAATTCTGTTCACACAGAGGGGCGTTGAAGCCGCAAATGAT